ACACACACACACACACACACACAGAGGAGCAGCCTTGCTTATACACTGAAGGCCTAAATCGGCCATGGGCCTGAGTCAGACATACATGCCTGCTAACACAAAGTCTTGGTCTCTGTGGGAAAACACTGACCCTAGAACAGATAGCTATAGACCTTGTGGACTGGTAGCTTTGATGGAAAACTACCCAGCTTGGATAAGAACATATGAATCATAGACAGAGTCATAGTGACTTGTTCCCTGCTTCTTAACCCAGCCAAAACTCTGTTCTGGAAGATATCTGTACTCCCCCTGAGAACACCTAGGCTCCTGCGTCATCCCCTTCCCCACATCCTGCCTCTATGTGTATATAACCCCTGTGTGAAAAAATTAAAATCACAGTTTGATCAGCCTATAGACAAGCCATCATTCTTTGCACTCCCTGTCCTCCAGTTCTCTCTTCCAGGTCCTCTGGAACCCAGTTCAATGCCCTGTGGGACTGGGGCGTGTGTGTGTGTGTGTGTGTGTGTGTGTGTGTGTGTGTGTGTGTATGTGTGTGTGTGTGTGTGTGTGTGTGTGTGTGTACAGTTTGCACATCTGTATGTGGGCTTTCAGAGACCAGAGGTAGACATTGGGTATCCTACTATGTCAATCTTTGCTTATTGCTCAGAAATAGGGTCTCTTACAGAAGTCAGAATCTGTCTGTCTCCACTCCTGACAGCATTGGAGTCCCACCATGCTTGAGCCACCCCTCCTGCCTCCTAGGCTGTGGTAATGATGGAGATATTTTCCCAACACTTGAGCTCTATTTTAATCACTGGGTGAATAAAAATATACTCAGAGATTTTTTTCTCAATAAACATAATGAACATGTATTTCCTTTCTGTATAGACATGAAGACAATTTGTATTTTGTAGTCAAGAGGTACAGCATTCTATTTTTGTGTATTTAATGAGATATATGTCCTGGCCAGGTTTTTTAATACTGCCAGAGTTTTGAGATACAAAATGCAAGTGATGGGTAAGATTTCTGATCCCCGTCTGCTAACAAGCCATCGACTTGTTAACTATAGTTTTATTGGACATTACTCTTACTAGTGATCTACTTGTTTGATTCCAAGGGCTGCAGAATATTGTTTTGCTTGTTTTGTTTTCTCTTTCCCAAGCCTTTTTTGGACTCATGCCTTAAGGCTTCATGGGACTACTCCGTATCCCTTCTGAGGAGCTCTGAACTCAGGCCAATGCTGCTGGCTGCTCATCTTTAAGCCATCAAGTGCCTTCCCCGGCCTCCCTGCCAGGAAACGTGTCAGCTGCTCTTCAGTGCTCCCAGAGAAGTCCCTCCACTGTTCCTCAGGCTATGAGACTTTCATATACATGGATGTGGGGGCAGTTACCATGCTTCCTGGATGTCCCCTTCCACAGGCAGTCTGCACCTGTATTCTGTGCGGACAGGTTAAGACTACCAGATTCACATGGCATGGGTTTGGCATCTGGCTCTGTTGTTTCCCTGGAAAAATGAGTGACTCCAGGTGAATTATGAAACATCCCAAGACTCAATGTACTCTGCTGAAAAATGGGCACATTCACCATACTTCCCTTGAAAGTGTGTGGTGAAGCTTAAACAACTCAGGCAATGAGTAGCTTCTAATGGGATGCCTGACACATGATCACTTGATATTTTACTAGTTACTATTACTAGAAGTAAAGTACAAAATATACAGATTCCTATTTCTAGTATTTTTGTCTCTTTTAGAAAAGAAAGGAAAGTTCCCTTTGCATTACTGTATAGGAGATTTTGACTACTCGTAGACTTTGATGTTATGTCTTACATAGGAAATATTTAAATCCCACTTTTAGACACAAGCACCCTGCCAAACAAAAAGTGCACGCATCAGTTTACATGCCCCAAGATACTCACTTGTAAATTGGGACTGGCGTCCCCCGAGTCCACATTGCCGCACCTTGCAGCCTCGGAAGAGCCCGTAGTAAATGTCCCCGATGAATTTGACCAGTTCTGGGTCTGTGGCATTGACCAAATCCACTCCAGTCTGACACAAGATTTTCCCACTCAACCAATGAGGCAGAGCCAAAGCAAGGGTGATCAGGAGGAAGGACGAGAAACTGAGCAGAGACGCCAGCCCGTACCACACCTTTTTGAACCATCCAGGCATGCTAGTAAGTGCAAATCATCCACCATGGTTCTGGGCAACAGTTGGACAAGTGGACATATTTCAGACAGTCGATAATAGCCTGCTCTATACAGGCTAACTCAGCCTCCCTCTGTTTCTGCCTCCTCAGCTTCTGTTTACTCCACACACATCCCCAGTCTCTGCAGACAACCTTCCCCTGGCCTGATACAGCAGAGTGTGTTACCCAAGGAAGTAACCCTATATCTCCCCACAGACTAGGGTTTCAGCAGAGGCTTTAATTGTTCCTCCATTCAAGTACTTAAGTAATCCCGATGGGGACATCATAATGACCAGAGAGTTATTATCAAGCAAAATCATGTAGAACTACTGACGAAGAATGCTAACTAGACTTGAAAAAAAAATGTGTGGCAGAAACAAAACAGAAGCGGACCCATTAACACTCACGTGTGTTAGCAACAGTGTGTGGGATCAAATGTCGATCCCTTCCAGGCATGCCCTGGCATTTCTTTCTCTAAAATGTCACTGCTGTCAGAATCCCTGGAACTGACCCTGGTTCATAAGACTTAAATCGACATGTATGAATTAAAACGGTGTGGATTTGTTGCTGGCTGAACTGTAACATGAAATCTATTTGTTGTGGCTGAAGGGTCAGACACTTTTCTTTCTTTCTTTGATGGATTCACCCTATGCATCTCAGACCTTAAATTTGCAGTCCTCCTGCCTCAGCTTCCTGGGTGTTGGGATTATGGAGCCAGGCTCCTATCTGGCTGAAAAGTTATCATCTAAAACTCAAGATCTATCTATCTATCTATCTATCTATCTATCTATCTATCTATCTATCTATCTAT